TTTCAAAGCAAACTATCCAAATGGGGCAGAGCAGAGATATTTGTGTGTTTCTGGATCAGCTACAGCAGTGGTCCCCAACCTTGGGCCTTCAGATGTTCTTGGACTTCAACTCCCAGAAATCCGGGCCAGCAGTGGTGGTGGTGAAGGCTTCTGAGAGTTGTAGGGATATTTTTGTGTTTCTGGATCAGCTACAGAATGGTTCATAAAGACTCCAGTCAACCTTCCGTAGTTCTGTGCATCAGAAGTTTGATGCACATTATTAATATGCCTATGATTAATCATAGGTATATTAATCATGCCTATGATTAATCATTAATATGATTAAATGAATGTGCACCATTCTTAGGCCCTGTAGATATGAACAATATCAGACCCAGTAACTTGATCTAAGTGGAGTTACTTGTTAACACTCAGAATTTGGAAGTATATCACTAGAAATAGTTAGTTGTGTGTAACTTTTTTTCAGTAAAGTATTTTATAAAAACATAAAAGTGGGGAAGTAAACAGCAACATGGTACAAGTCTTGTGCTGTTTCTTATGCTGTTGCCTTGTGCTTTTTTCTGGGTGTTAAAGCAACAAGATGGCTGGGAGGAGAGTGTATTTTGTGTTGCAGACCAGAAAATTGCAGCATTTGGATTTTTTTAAAAGGAACTATTCAGTTTCTTATGAGAACAATGGGAGTAAATAATTACTTGTTAAACTATGGCTATAATATAATTATCAATTTTTGAGAACTGGAACTAATTACTTCAAAATGCAATTTTCCAAGGGCTGTACTTTGTGCACATTGGATCCTGCACTTATCTTTGTGAGCTTACAAACTGAGAAATACTCACTGAGATGCAAGTGGAAGTTCCTCCTTCTGCTATTGATATAACAAAACCAGGTACCCTCTTCTAATGACTTTGTAGCAGAGATGAATTTATTTTCTACTGGACACTTTTGTTAGAGCCAGCCACAACCTTCACATTCTGCTCTGATCATATCCAGATTATCTTGCAAAAGGAGTTAATATCATTTCCAAATTAAAACTATTAAAAAACAAAGTATTAATGATGGAACTACAGTAATTTATCAGAGCTCTGGGTCATCTGAAAGCACAGAGACACATAGCAGATAACTATTGATTCCAAATTCCAAATTTCCAATTATTCAAAATTTCTCCCTCCCTCCCTGACTTTATAATGTAAAAAAAGTAGAATCGTTTTTTTTTTGTTGTTTCAGATAGTATGATTACTTAAAGGCTGTTACAAACAGATTTGAAACTGCTCCCAGCCAGAGGTAACTTAATTGTTTTCTTTTCCTCTTGCCTTATGACAGTATTTTTGATTCAGGTTCCCTTTGTGCACTGTAAAAACTGTACTAACTTATTTTAGATGTCCAAATGCAAGGAAACTGCTGAAGAAATTAGATTTTAATACACAATTTGTTTCCTCAGTGCAAATGGGAATTAAAATACCACATTTTACAAAAGGCTATAACATCATTCTCTAGATTAGTCTGACTCATGAAAAGGATTCCAGAGAAACATGTCGAGTTTTTCATAAAGCAAAAATAACACTATCTATCTCAGTTATTCCAACTTTAAACCAGGTTACAACAATGTAATCGAAGAGGATACACTTAGCATAAACATCTGATTAATAAATAGGACTTCCTTCCAGGGCCCACCACTTGAAACAGGGCCCCAGAACCTACAAATGCAGTATTAACCAACTGGGCACCTAAATGCCCCATGCTCCGCAGACATGAGTTATTCCATAAGGAAATTCCCACTGTGTACCCAACGTTTGCTGATTGCAGCACACTGTCTCAGGATTATGTAGGAATAGAAGCAAAGGGAGAAAAAGCCAAATGAGCTTGGATTTTTCTCTCTTCCAAGTCCATGATTTAAAGCAGACTGGTAAATTTTCACTTTGAAATGTCAAGATAGTTTCTTGTTTGCTGTACATTTCCCAGAAGATGTTTCAAAGAGTTTTGTGTGGTTACGGCTGGGCTCCCTGCTGAGCTATCTAGTTCATTTTGTGCATTTTAATGACATCATCAATTCAACATTCATTTGACTTGTTTGTTGGGAAACTGGAGAGATGTGTGTGTGTGTGTGTGTGTGTGTGTGTGTGTGTGTGTGTGTGTGCATGTGTGTGTTAGAAATGTATTTATGGAGTGATAACAAGTGTTTTTTCTTTGAAAACTAGTCATCATTACAAGTATCTTCAAAGAGAGACACTTTGAAGTGAAACATGTTGCTCCTTATCTAAAAGTTACCATAACAGAAAACATTGTTTTCAATCATACAATGGGATGGTAGATCACAGGGGGTGGTGGAGATTCATGAGGGAGGGGATTTGAAAGCATGGTCTCCCAGCTTGGCGTATCTAAGGGCTCTCCCCAAATCACAAAACGGATTGTCACATGTATCACATCCCCCCTCATTTCACCATGGAATCTAGCACAAAGCATTGTGCCTGAGCGGTGATTTAAGCTGACAAAATCCTTTTATTTATGAATCCTTGTTATGTTTTTACATTGTTATCCTCTTCTAATATCCATGTGGTAAGTGCCTGAATAAAACCAAGAACCCACTTTATTTTAACTTACGCAATTTTCATTATGTCCCCCTCCCTATCTTTGTGTGTGTGTGTGTTTCTCTCTCTCTCTCTCTCTCTCTCTCTCTCTCTCTCTGTCTCTCTCTCTCTGTGTGTGTGTGTGTTTTAAGATGGCTTCACAATAAACAGAAAGCTCTTCAGGACAGGGAGCATCTTATGTCATTAATTTATGGAGAGAATAACACAATAGGACCCTATCATGATAAGAGCGCTAGATGCCAGTGCAATACAAATTGATAACAACAGCAGTAGCAACAACAACAACAACAGACATCTTACATACTGAAGAAGCCTTATTCAATGGACTCTCTCGCATGGCTAAAATCTAACTGTCAGACTGAATGTCAACATATTGACATTCCTTTTGGCTCTCCTTTTGTTTCTTTTGTAAAGGTATGAATTTCTGCAGCTGTGTGTGACTATTAGGTATATACAAAAGCTCTTATATTTGCCTACACAGCCAGCAAAGTATCTAAGTACATTAGAGTACTGCTTGTCTGACAAGTTATTCTATTCTTCTTGTAGTTTATGACCTTAAACAGGAAGTGTGTGGAACTCACAAATATTTTTGCTCACAGTTTAATCTATAAGTGACAGTGAGCACAATTGTCTCCCAAAAAAGGTAAAATAAAATTCTTAGGAAAACTGAAGTAAAAAATAATGAATACTAGTCAGGGTGTAGCTGCAAATGTTCAAAAGTGAAATTAAAAGCCAGCTACTATTATTAGCAAACACAATCTCTTGACTCATATTCAACACAACAGGTGCAAACTCTTGAAAGGAATCAGGATAGCAGCAGTCCAAAAACCTGATTTAGACTATATTAGACTGACGCTTTTTCAGCTTCATTCTATCACTTTTCTATCTTACTTATAATATTTATATAACACCAACTGTCAAATCTTCCCAGAATCGCTTGTGGTTGTTGTATACCCTCAAATTACTTCCAAGCCATACTGACTCTGGGACAGCCCTGCTTCTTCTTTTGTTGATTCAATCCAACTAATGTTTGCTCTCCCTCTTTTCCTGTTTCCCTCATCTCTTCCTAGCATTTCCATGTACAGTATGTCCAGACTGGACCTTTTGGTGCAGGCTAGTTCAGTCTAAATAGAGTCAGCAAAGGTTGAGGGAGGAGCGATGTGACATTTAACATGATCATCACACTCAAATAGCATAAAGAAAAAGAGGCAAGTTACACATGGTGGTAAAAGGGGGGGAAAGCAGTTGATCAAAGCAGACAGAAGAGGGCATGCCCAAACAGGGGAAGTCAGAGTGGTCAAGTTTGCACTTAAATGTTCTAATCTTTTGTGTCATCTATTCAATTTGTAACTTGTGCAATCCTTCTGTTCACAATGACTTATGTTTCATCTCCCATGAGAAGGGCTCAGACAGATCTTTGGACTGCTCCAATTTGTCCCCTTTCCAATTAATGACACTCCCTTCCTGCTCCCTGTTGTGAGCGTGCTGAAGCCTCTATTATCTCAAGCTTTCAGGAGGTGCTCACTCTTCTTCTTTAGTTGCTGCCACCAATACCAATTCAGTACCAGTTATTTACTGAGACATGTGTTGCTTTGAAACTTAAACTTGTCTATTTGATCAGTAATATATAATAGGTAAATCACAAGTTGCTAATCAATTTATCTCACTCACTGAACTCACTGACACACAGAACCCTACTCTCACTGACTTTCTTGCTCACTCTCTCACAGACTCACCGATCTCCCAAAAACCTTTCTCTCATACTCAATACACTCCCCTTTATATCCCAGCACCTCCCCCTTTAGTACCACCTTCCGTTCACTCATTGGCTCCTTTTCCACTGCTCAGCTGTGACGGACAGGTGAGGGCAGGGCTGAACGCTACATACCTCCCCCCTTAACAAGTTGTTTCATGGGGGAAAAGCTATAGTGCTTTACCCTCATGAACAACGAGGAGCTTTACAATATCACATCATCACAATATTACACTCAAACTTACCACATTTGAACATAAACAATAATTCAACTTCTTACCTGCATGTTATACATTAACTTTGCAATCCAGTTACTAGATCCATTACATACCTCAACACTTCAATTGTCTATACAGGTGCATGTTTAATAACATACTATAACATTTAAAATACTTACATATAATTTCTTTTGAATACACAGCATATAATATTTAAGAATGTTTACATGAACATTTTATTGCTTTCACCACTATACTAGAGTCCTTTTATTTCTTATTTTTAGTCTTCTGGTCTTCTTGAGAGGGCATCTGCAGCACCATTTTGAGTCCCTTTAATTACGTGTACCTCGAAATCAAAGTCCTGAAGAATCAATGCCCATCTCATCAGTTTGCTGTTGTTGGCTTTTATGGTCCTTAACCATAATAATGGGGAATGGTCAGTACACAGGACAGAATGTCTCCCCCATATATATGGCTTGAGTTTCTGAAGAGCGTACACTATTGCAAGACATTCTTTTTCAATGGTAGAAAGATGTCTTTCGCCCGCCTGCAGCTTTTTGCTCACGGATGAAGCCATGGGATGAAGTTCTCCGCTGTCATCCCTCTGGCTCAGCACGGCTCCTAACCCGGTGTTGGATGCATCGGTGAAGATGGTGAACTCGCGCTGGAAATCTGGAGCTCTTAAGACTGGGTTGGTCATCAACGCCTCCTTTAGCTTCGTGAACGCCTCCTCGCAGCTGCTCGTCCACTGGATACTATCTGCACTCTTCTTGCATGTTAGGTCAGATAAAGGAGCGGCTGTTTCACTGAATCTGGGTATGAACCGTCTGTAATAGCCAACTAACCCTAGAAAAGATCTGATCTTTTTCTTGGTG